GGTTTGTTGAGACCTTCACCTGGTGTTTTAGCAGACAAAGCTCCTCACCAGCGCCATGGAAAGTATCATCACCTCAGCATCAGAGAAGGCACAAGCCTTCCTGATCCACCAGTGGAATTTGAAGTCCCAAAAAGAGAACTAATGGGCATCAGGAATGAAGCCTCTCAAAGTCAGTACTTGGTACTTTTGAAAGAGTAGTGAATTTGTAGATGTTAACAGAATTTTGCTTTATGCATTTTCCAGATATAGATTTGTTCAAATACTAGTGGGAAAGAAGGGTCAATACAACAAATTGATCTGCCATCGAATAACATCTGTTCCTTTAATGTGTATAAAACGTTTTGCCAGCTTTTAAGTACTTAAAAGACTGCTTATGAATCTACAACAAAGTTGTAGCATTTTTTTCCTGCATGCATATGCACACAGACTCCAGACAGCATGTAGGGTTCCTTCTTATTCTCCTGGAAGAGATGTCATCTTGCTCCTTTCTCTCTGATCTGCTGGCAGACCAAGCACAGGCTAGCTTTGGTTCTTTTTGCTGGTATAATAGTGTATTGGAAAAATTATTTCTTTCCTTGTTGAACCAACTCACAATCCAGACCCAAGCAACAAATCTGTCCTCTTCTGAAAAAAAAGAAACATGGCAAAACCCACAAAAAAAAAAAAAAAAAAAAAAAAAAAAAAACCCTACCAACCACAGCACAGCCCTGGTAGATGGATTTTACAGAGCAAAAGACATGCAAGACAGAACTATGGAGTGCTGTGGTCTATCAGGGTCTTACTGTGACAAGAACAACACCATGAAGGAAGTGGAAGAAAAAAAAAATATATGCAGAGAAGGGAGGATAAAGCTATCTCAGAAACATTATCAAAGATAAGAGGACAGACAAAACTGGTTGATTCAGTGATGCTTAGGTTATCTTTTCTGAGAATTATACTGAACAAACCTGCTCTCTTCCAGATTTGTAAACTCCCTGACAAAAGGTATAGGGCAGTATTTAGGGTAGCTGATATTAACTAAGACTTCCATTTTTCTTCCACAAGGACAGAGAACACCTTTCTTATTCCTGTTTGCACGTTGTCTGCTCCAAGTCAGAGCGGCATCTGAAGTACTGACAGAGTGACTCACTTATGGATTATAATGGACTTTTATGTTGCCAGAAATGATCTTGAGTATACAAGGAAAATAAATCCATACCTACCACAATAAATAACTTAGAGCTCATTGACTCAATGAATGCCAAAGTAATCAAATTACAGTTTTTTTCAATCTGCTTCATTTAAAGTGAATTTCCAGACAATAAAACTTGCTTTCTTTTTAATTTACATTCAATTTCAGGTTATGGGTAAAAGCCAATATGAGGATGCTGCAGTTATCCAACAATGAAGTACCAGGAAATTAAGAATTATGATTACATTTAATAGAAATGCAAACAAAACTGGATCCATGGGCATTATAATGCTTTGCTTAGTGCTTGGGATCACTGAAAGTCAAATCAATTGGAAGCATGTGATCTTTCTGGGGCAGGAAGCACAGAAGTTGGGAGGTAAAAATGAAATGGCTACGTATGATGAAGGGAGAGACAAGAAGTATCAAAATTAGTAGGGCTTAGCAAAAGCTTCATGTACATGAAGTGACCCACCAGTTTCGTTTAACAATAGGTAGGAAGCCTGAATCCCACATTTCCTCAGAAATCATGGCTCAGACTCTTAAGAACAAAGCAACATGAGGGGGCTAGAAAACAAATCGTATGAGGAGCGGCTGAGGGAGTTGGGACTGTTTAGTATGAGGAAGAGGAGGCTGAGGGGAGACCTTATCACTCTCTACAACTACTTGAAAGGACACTGTAGAGAGGCTGGTGCTGGTCTCTTCTCACAGGTAATTAGTGACAGAACGAGAGGGAACGGCTTCAAGCTCCCCAGGGTAGGTTTAGATTGAACATTAGGAAGGAATTTTTCACGGAAAGAGTGATAGGGCATTGGAACAGGCTGCCCAGGGAGGTGGTGGAGTCACCATCCCTGGCTGTGTTTAAGGGCCGTTTAGATGCAGTGCTAAGGGACATGGTGTAGGGGAGGACTTTGTAGAGTAGGGTAGATGGTGGGACTCGATGATCCCAAGGGTCTCTTCCAACCTAGACAATTCGATGATTCTGTGATTTCAGACTGTGAAAATGGGCCTGAAAGCTCTGTAATCTCTGGAAAAATTAGAGCACCTCATCTGGTCTGAGATTTCCCATGGCATCATGCCAAGGCAGCAGCCCACACATGACCAGAGATGAAAACCCACCCTCACAGATCAGATGTTGGCTTTCAGACACGGTCCAGCTTTCTTCTCTCACACCCTGCTCCATCCTGGAGAAGATGGGAAAATCAACACAAGAAAATGTGGTCTGGGGAAAGGGAACAGACATGTACGGAAAACACAAAAGCAGAACAGGGCAGAAAAAGATTTTTAAGATGTAAGGACATGGACTTCCCCATTTACTGAACCAGACCCTACCTGCTAGAGTAGGATTATCTCTAGCTAGAGCAAAGCAGGCAAAAGAGTCCTCTGCGAGCTGCAAGAGGTCTAAGTTGGACACTAGTGGCATGTGCAGTTATACTGTTATTTCTTGAAATGCAAGCTATACGGTGTGGTTTGCTGCACCAGGTTTTAAGATAACTGTATTTTTTAAGATTTGGGAAGATATTCCATGGGGCAAAACCTACTGATGCTCAGGTTTTTAGCCTAATCTGTTATCCAGCTGATTGTGTCCTGCTCCCAGCAGCAACCACGTCTCATCTACCACATCGTGATGGAAAATTGGATGAGTCTTACAAATGTTCTCAAGGATATTTTTATTATATCTAAAAATATATCTATCAATTATTTACCCACATGGTAAGTAAGAACACTCCGTACTCAACATGTTTTAGGTTAGGGAAGGACACCCACCCTGCTCCTACATAAAAGGGGCTTGGGTCCTGCGTCATATGCAAAGGTCACGTCAACTTTCAATAGAGACACAATCAATGCACCTTCTGGGCTGAATTTTCAAGCTCTGAAGGACTACATTACATTCAGGCAAGCTTACAATTCTTATGCACAGACTGACGCAGGCAGAGTTCATTTTTCAAAAGTAGTTCTAAATTAAATGTCTATTTTATATTTGTCCATGTAGATAATTAGATATTCATAGATGTTGGATACTTGCAGGCAGTAGATAAGCAAAAGTACACGCAGTGCCACAAGCTTTATTGAATTACTAGAAAATTCTTAAATACATTAATCACACAGTGCTATGAAATATTTAACATCAATTCTAATGAGTGTTTTAATCCCATGAATGATTAAATTAATTCTTACGCAATATTAACTGTTCAAACCAGGGGCCCTCAATTAATTATTGCAAAAGGTCACTTTCTTGCAGGCTGTGAACATGCAACACAAAAGGGCGGCTGCAGTTCTACTCTTTACTATGTCCATTTGCAAGTGCTGAGCTGGTCCTCCAAGGAAGAAACCGGCTACAAGAGCCTGAGGCTGCAAAAGCACCATGCTGTGGGAACAGGTGCAACTACTTTCCCCACACTGAAGCATTTCCTCCTAATTTACTCATAAACGTGAAATACTTCTAAGAGTCAATCAAACCAGCCTCTCTCGAACAAAAGCAAAGTCCAGGGCCCATAGATAGCCAGGAGAGTCATTTCAGCAAGTAACACATTCATTTCTTGGACACTTCATATCAGACTGTTTTCTTTAATCTTTTGACATTAGGGGTTCTGCATACTATGCTTGTATGATTTGGTCAAATACTCAGTTTGTCCAACAACATTTCTTATTTGTTGGCTTTACAAATAAACTGTATCCTTCTGACTACTTAAAAAAAAAAAAAAAAAACAACAGAAAAAAAAGCACTTTATTCTTTACATACATTTTTAAAAAAAAAAAAAAAAAAAAGGAGAGGACATTTGGTGTTACCTAGAGTACCACAATGGATTAAAGCTTTGTACAGATTCCAACTACACAACATATTCAGATTTCCTAGGCAATTGTTTAACGTCCGTGTTTTGCTGAAGATAGTTTTAAGATAACATAATAGCAGTATACAGATAAATTAATTCTACTCAAAATAAGTAAACAGTAATTAACATTTCCTAATGTTAACAGTTTTGTAGAGATACTGTAATCAGCCTAATGGATAAACAGCCTGCAAAGTGTAATATGCACATCTTAGAGGATTTGAAGTAGAGGATAAAAGATTTGCTTAAATTATGAGACTTGAATTTTATTAATGTTGTTGCCAAAAGTAGATAAGACATTCATAAGAGACATCACTGAGCTTTCTTCTATTGTACATTAAAAGCAGTGTTTCAGAAATCTAATTTTGCAGACCATCAGATACAGCTAGGTTATTTTTCCATCCATGTTTTCAGAAGCATAAAAAAAAAAATGCAAGATGAGATAAGCAGAAATTAGTAAAAATGTTTTTCATCCATCAACACAGCATTGAAAAGTAATATCAAAGAAATTAGGCATCAACTACAAAAACCTCTGGTGTATTTTAAAAGGCTACCAGCAATACCTGTCTCCATTTATTCTCCTCCTCTTCAAATTTCATTATGAAGTCATAAAAATAATATTCAATACATGTTGTTTAAAGAGAACATAAGCTGACATAGTTGTATGAAAAAACACAGCATTTTCATCCTTGCATTGATATTGCAAGGTCTGAACAATCCAGGTGACTCTGAATGCGTTTTGTGCCCTTACCACACATGAGGACACAAACAGGTTACAGACGTAATGCCTGATTTCACCTTCTAGCATCACAAGCTTCAGACCAACATTTTGAGGGGCACAGTTTCTCATAACTGACAAAGGTTATTGACTTCACAGAGATTTTAGTACTTTTAACAAGAAAAGATTGTTCAGACTAACCATCGTTTGGTAATTAACCACAGAAGGAAATAAAGTACACTGAAAGAGAAAAAATAATGAGAAGAAATAAAGTCTAACTTACAACACTGGGAGGCAGCACTGGGCAATGGTTTCTTCTGGACTTCCTCGTGAAAGGAATACTAAAGGAGGAAGGGGGGAAAAAGGAACACAGACCAATAAGAAAGCAAACGGTAACTTTATGAAACAGATTTAAGAGTATAGCATGCTGCACAAAAGAGAAAACCTCCCCCGTAGTATCGAAGCATTAAGTAGTCTCCTTTATACCCATATTCAAAAACACTCCCAGAAGTCTCCCCTTTTTTTCATGCCAAACCAGATGTTAAAAAGTAAACATCTGGTTCAGATGAGTCTGCTTTACCACAAGCACAGGCTCCATTCTCAACTGTGAGATCTCAACTTAGAGAAAAGATCTGATTCTCTGCCACAATGTCACTGTGACGGGAAGCTCAGAACTAAGTACGAGCCCATTCATATCCAGACACTCAAGCACAGCTTCAACAGTCCCAAAATGATGTGGGCTCACAGGAACACTGCAGTAGGAGACTGAAGTAGTAAGCTAATTAGTGTGCCCGGCAGGACAGTAACACAATGTTTGCCCAGACAACACTTACACAGTCTCCTGTGATCTACTTTACACCCTAAGTGAAGAACTTTTCATCTCATTTAATACTAAATTAGAGGAAATAGAGATATTTCAATTAGCCAGCTCTGACTTTTTACAAAGCTGTTTGTTACAGCATCAAAGCATTCCCTGAGGGAATGCTCATGGTATTATTTTGTTATTCTCCTCTGCCTCCTATTACACAGAGATATGAGAAAATTAGGACAAATGAGCAAAACAATGAGAACAGCTTTTGCTAAGAAAAAAAAGGTTTGGCAAAGAAAGTGGTAACTTTATCAACCTGGTGCTGCAATCTGTGCAAAGCAGGGTGACCGGACAGCCTCTCCTTGGGCCTGGTAAGGATTAATTACATGGAAGGTGACAGCCCGCAGACTTCTGCTATGGTGATTTTCTGATCTGAGCTATTTAAAATGCACAAGTGATCCTGAAAGGTGGTTAGCCTTGTCATCAGCAAACTGCCAACCCACTGAGTTAATCGGGATTGTGAAAACAAGAACTGCTGGATCTCACAGCACTGCCTGGTTGACAACGTGGTGAAAGGAAGTCAGTTGATGAGCAATCTCAGCAGCACAGGACAGCAATGGATTCCGAATTATTACACTCAGAGATACAAAATGGCAATAGTTTGTTCATTTTAAGGCATCAGCCCAATGGTTATTAGCAGCCCCAAAAAGAAAACTAAATAGAGTCTGGAAAGCATCTTCATGACACCAATTGGACTCAAAATTAACCTGTTTCTCAAATACTGCTGTGCAATGTTAGTCTGTTCATCTATAGTGTCAGAGATAGATGAACTGAACGGACAGAAAAGGAGACAAAGCCACAAAGCTGCCATATGCTTAATATTGTGCAGACTAGGACTCTGCAGCCCAAAAGCCACGTAAGAAGGCCAGGTCTGTAAAGCTGAGTGGCACAGAGTGGATGAATGAGTGTCAGTCATTCAATTTCTCCAAATAAACCTGCCCCCATTTGGTTTCACAATATCAGGTTTGTTTGCTCAGAGCAAATAAGGTATTTCTTCAGGCAATGCACAATTAAGGTGCTGAACTCCTTTGCTACAACGTAACTGACCTGGCTGCGTTCAAAAGGCAACTGACATCAAAGAAGAAAAATCCATCAAGTGTTGTTATACACAAAGATACTGTCTCTGGTTCTGGAAGCCCCTGAGCTAGAAGTCACTGCAAATTAGGGGAATATGCAAGGAAGATATCACCCCCACTCAGGGTCGTTGTCAGACAAGATGAACCTTGGGTCAGGACCCACAGAGGTGTTCTTACATTTTTTTCATTCTCTCACTGGTGACAGGGAACACTCATAATAAATTCGAGATTTTTAGGTCACAAATCGAGAGATGTGATTTTGTTACTAGTATTTGATAAAAGCATGCACTTTGCATGCAGATGGGTGGCAGTCCAGAGCAAGGGCTGTCTCACAAAGCTGAGCACACCTTTCAGCCAGCAATAGTTCAGTGGAGCACTAGAGGGCACCTACACTTCACCAAAGTACCTGGCACCCGCTGCAGCTACAGCCCACAGGAGCAGGGAGGCACCAAGGCAGTGTCACTCACAGGCCAAAGCAAAGATTGAGCTTGTCATTCAACTCCAAGAGGTTCTCAAACTTCTAGGAAGGCAGGAGAGGTTGCCCTCAAGCAGTTCTGTTTTTATACGCACCAATGTTGGTGCATCCTAAGTCAAAAAGAACACCCATCCTATTTTTCTCTATTTACACCATAAACCAAGTGATTCACATAAGGGGTAGAGATGAAGGATCCCAGAACAAAAACCTCTTAGAGTCACTAGCAGAACATTCTGTAAGTTATCTTGCTTGGGAAAGAGACCTATTAAGAGCTTTATAGCAAGCACCATTTTCCTACTCAATGATGCTGGCATCAACCCATGAGATGTTCTGTTTTCTTTTAAAATGTTAAACTTCTGACACAGGTACTAATAAGTCAGATCTTATTTTCCAAACAGTATGAACTGTAAAGAAACATTTTAATCATATAACAGTCTCTCTTTAAAAAATAAATAAATAAAATAAAATTGTAACTTTTAGTTTATAGCTGTTTAGCCAAGTACATACTACAAAAAACAGGAAACCAAAGCAGTCGCTAGCAGGTACTATAACAGAAGATTCATATAAACTGAGCCATTAACAACTAGATTAGGACAAAAGCTATCAGTTCCCACAACCCTCAGTTTCAAGAAAGATTCAGTATCTTTCTTTGTCTTCTTCCCAGAAGCAGCTATCTGCATAATGTGTCCTTTTTCACTTGATTTTACAAACGAAGAGAACCTACCACAGCTTGTCAAAAATGGTTTCCCTTTCTTGTGAGGTAAAGCATGGTATTACCTTTCCCTCTGAGTGCATGCACATCAACAAAACAGTTCTCACTATTCAAGCACTTCCAGTATGTTCCTCTCCCTAACACTAACAGTACACTTGAGGAAACAGCTCATGGAAGACTTGTAAATGATGAACATATAGTAGTTGTCTTAATCACAGGGGTCCAATAGAAAGAATAAAAATTGCATGGTATTCAGGACTACATTCACCTTTCAGTTTAAACATTTACCTCATCATCTCCCAGTGAATTTATTTGTTCTAATTTTCTGGTCCAGTATCTGGCCTCTTCTTCAGGGATATCTGTGGCAAAAGAATAATTCACATCATCTTATTAACCACACAAATCTGCATTTATCACCAGTAGCATTAAAACAAGGAGGGTATTCTGAGATCACACCACCAGAAAAAAAAAACACACTTAATTTTGAAGTAATAGGACTGTCTTATGTCAGCACTCAGATGGAAAATAAACATTGTAAATAGTAGCACAGTCCAAGGGCTTACATTGTGTTCTTGTTTAAAGCAGATTAACCAAAATGCACACCAAACAAAGGTAGGAAAGAGTAAGACAGGCTGGTTCAGATTTAATTTACGTATTAGCTTTATGAAGAGCCATTACACAATGATATTAATAAACTTGCTTGATAACACATAGCAAGTTCAAGAGCCTCTTCTGGAGGCTTTTATAACCTCAAAAGGGTAGGGCTCCTTTTGAATACCACATCTTTTCTTACGTACCCAGTACGACACAAATTAAGTACCAAAAAAGAAATAGCCTCTTGTTTTCCTTTGCAGGCAATAAGCCAAATCTTTTGAGGTAATGAACAGTGTTATAAGCAGTCATATTCACATGAAAGCATGCTCCTATTTTTACACCACACTGCAACTTCATTGTGAAATGAATCACAACAACCCTTTTACCTTCTGGAAGATTTACCAAGTTGATGACTGACAGCAAGTAGCAAGCATTATCACCTTTATTTTGGTAACTATTTTCTATTTCACACTTTGAAGTAATATAGTGTCCTAATGGTTTGAAGGGAGCACAGACTTCTGCCACTCAAAATTTCATCTCTCAAAGTGCACCCTTGGAGGTGCGGATGAACCACTGTGGAAAGCTTAAGTCAAGGCAAGTGAGGTACAAACTATGCTCAAGGAATAGAGCAAGAGGTGCACAGCACCCACTGAAAGAAAAAGCATCAACTAGGCTCCAAACCCAGGAAAATTAGCTAATGTATTTAGGGATGAGGGGCTGTAAAATCACTGGAAGGAGAGGAAAAAAAGCCAAAATGTTGTTCAGGTGTTTTGGGTTTTTTTTAAGTCACTCAACATCCCCCCGACTGTAGGGTTGTTGGTTGTTCCTCCCTCCAGAAAGGGGTAATGACTTCTGAAATTTGGCTGTTCATGACCTGAAACTGCACCAATGCAGAAACATCAGAGCTTACACAGGAAGGAAGCAGGAGGACTGCTCCTACTAGGCACCACCAACCCTGCAAGCCTCACCATCCCAAACACTGACAGACAAGGCTGAGTATAATACCAGTTCAGCAAGTTTTCCGATCGCTTGTAACCCTTTACACTCTGAGATGCCTCATTAGGAGCCAACATGTTTACACCTAACAAGTTTGTTTCCCTGCAATGAACTGTACCCCAGTGACTTGCTAAACTATGTGTTGGCAAGAATAGGAGATGTAGGCTGGGATGGTCTCCTGATGAAAAGGTGGTTCTAGAAGTTACATTCATTCTCATTCCTGAGAGAAACGAGAACAAGACCTATTGGCAGGTGAGCATTCCACTGGGACCTACAATGCTTTCAGAAAGGATCATACTTATACTTAAAGGGGTTATCTGTCCTATGTGTGTTGTCTCAGCCACACAAACCATCATCTTCTGAAGCCAGTCACCCCAAAACATCTCAAGATAACAGTGACCAGTGTAGAAGAACACAAGCTGCTTTCAATAAGAACAAGGAACATGACAGATCTAGCGGAATTTGGAGTTTCAGAAGTAGGTATTTCCTTGGGTGACAAATGGATGTCTACACAGAAACACCACTGTATTCTTATGTAACTGTTCTCATCCAGACAAGGGGGATAAAACAGGCCTCACTTAAGAAAGGTTTAGGGAACTGAAAACTTAGTACCTGGCCATAATAAACATGCATTAAGTAGAAAAAAGACAACCTTGAAGGGAGACCAGCAAAGCAATTTTTTTCAACCATAAAAAAAGCAATGTACTGTACATCAGAGCAACTGGCTCTGTGTGTTATAGAATCATAGAATTGCCCAGGCTGGAAGGGACCTCCAAGGGTCATCTAGTCCGACCCCCCTGCAGTCAGCAGGGACACCCCCAACTAGACCAGGTTGCCCAGGGCCTCGTCGAGCCTCTCCTTGAATATATCCAGGGCTGGGGCCTCAACCACCTCCCTGGGCAACCTGTTCCAGTGCTCCACCACCCGCACAGTAAAGAACTTTCTCCTAATCTCTAATCTAAATCTGCTCCCCTACAGCTTAAAGCCATGTGTTGTTACATGCTATTAAGGTAAGAGAAACATGAAAGAGTCTTCCACAATTACAGGAATTGTAGAAAAACATACATGCTTTTGATCATCAAGGCTGTGGATCTCAGCTGCACAGATTTATTAGATGAGTTCTGCATAAATTAGCGACAGCGTTCAAAGGAAATCTGGACAGAATTGATTTAGAAAGAGGATATCAATTAACTGAAGGGCTATCAGCACACAACCTGATGAGATTTAGGAGGACAAACTCCAACAAAGACCAGAAGCAACTCAAACATTAAAGCAAACCCTGTGAAATTTTGTCTTTGAAAGTCATCACACCTATAAAAGATGAAGAAAAACTCATGAGCTGAGGACTAAAGGTCAGCGTCAAAACAACTCAACTCTGGAGCCTGAAATCAAGATCAGAGAGATCTAGGAGGGATGAAGCAATGGATTACCATCAACACTTCAGGAACTGCAGTCGTCTCAGGGGAGGCTTCAATGTTTTCCCATTGGTTCAGCAGCATGCCCAGGCATTAAGGAGCACGATGTGCCTCTTGGATTTGTTGTTCCTGTCTTGTATCCAAGGTGCCCATTTCATAAATGAAGCTATCAGAGCTATCAGATTTTTAGCACAGGATCACTGTTGTTCTATTGAAACAGCTTCTTACATCAGTGAGAGATAAAAATCTGCTACTATCTTAGATAACGGCTACTTTAAGGACATCTTCTTAATCTTAGAGAAACTCTTGTCATTAATACTAACAGCAGTACAGCTACTGCACAGCAAACTTTAAACATTAAGCCACTGGCCTATGAACTTGAGTCAACTTACCTGCTCAGAAGAATCAATCCTCAATGAGACAGAATTCTTGATTTTCTAAGGAAGCATTTTATAACTATTTTTTTGTTTCACCACCTATTTGTGTCTCGCCTAAGCTGTTTTGTTGAAGCTGGTTTTTTGGAGTGCAGAGAATGGAAATCTCTAGCGCAGAGATCACAGCTTGACTGCTTGCAAGGCCACGTCAACTGGCTAGCTCCTACACCACTGCTCAGCTTTGATTACAAGACCAAGGTACTCCGCTACATTATCCTTTGCTTACAAGATAAGAAGCTGAACTAGTCCAAACAGAGGCCACCTGATGCCAGCTCAGGACTCTACTGACATCATGCTTGGTAAACAAGAGGAGCAAGGCCATATGTCAGGGAAACAAAACTGCTGAACGAGAACAGAAAGGAGATGGGAAGATCAGATCATTAGCTTTTGGGGCTTCTTAATTTGATACCAGCATGGAAAGGTTGCAGGCTTTACTGTCCTTGCTCCTACTGCCATCATCTTCAGCTTTAAGCTGAAACTCCCTTCTTCTCTGGGCTCCTGGTGTCAGGGAGCAGTGAGGTCTGATTGCTCCCAAAGGGAGGGGAGGGAGATCTCATGGCTATCGGGGCAGCCGACTTGCCAGCCTACAGTGCCTGAGCAAGGGGAGCAGAGCAAGCCCAGAGACCACGGCCAGGTTCAACCAGGAACCCAGATCAGCAGGCAGGTCCGCAGTGACAAGGCAGGCATGAGGTCAAGCCTGGAAGTCAGTCCACATCCGGACCTGCATCTATGGGGTCCGTGAGCAGGTACAGACATGGCTGTGGCTGAGGTAGGGGATCAGTAACTCCCACAGCATCACTCAGGAGTGAAGGCTCAGAGCTGAGCTGAAGCGGGACTCCTGGGCCCACGAGCAGGGGATGTGGGTGGGGGTCACGGGTGACACTGCTCAGGGACCTGCCAGCTGGATACACTGCACCACCATAGAAGTGGGGACACTGCAATATGGAGACTTGATCAGACTGAGGAAGGAATCAGAGGACAATTTGCTGCATCTATCCAGACCACAACACTCACAGTTAGGACCCCCTCAGGTATCTAAACGTGAGAGTATTTCCACTTAGAGATCTCTAGCTTGTCAATAGCCAGAAGCTTCAGCCCTGAAGTTTTTCTCCACATCAGGCTTGGTGGTCCTTGCTCTACATCTTGCACATCACCTTGTGCCACCTGGGTTTTTCCCAGGTAGCAAGTCTTCGGCTGGGGCATACCCCAAGTACGCACAACTAAGAACAAGTGCTGGACATAAGACAGATAACTGCCCTCCCCCTACTTTCCTACAAGCCTTCATCTGTCTTCCTCTCTTCCCAGCTCCAATTTGTTCCCTTTCCAGAGGTATGGGAATCTTCACTAGTTCTTACTGAAATAACTTTGCAGAGCTGAGCATTTCTTGTCTTGCAAACTTTACAGAAATAAAAGAAGAAAGCACATTTACTCCACCTGATGGCTGGATGTGGATCAGCATGGTCCCAGTCTGGGAGTGGGGAGAATACTAAAAGCATTTTCACTCCAATTATCTACTAGAAACAGTCTGGCACAGATACAAACTGCTATAGTTTGGAAGCCAAAAGCATTTTTGAGTAGTCCATCCTGTGACAGACCTGCACATAGCCACTGTACTTCTAAAAAAGGGAAGAGAGAGTAAAATTGCTTTTAAACAGCACGATTTTACACTTGAAAAGCAGCATCTTGGAAAATCTGTGCCAGCACACACTTACTACATCAAGACAACAATAGCAAGACTGTCTTCTCCCTACCAGCAAATTTTCTAAACCAACCAAGAAGAAAAACTGTCTCCTTTCCTTGATATGTTTGTCTTGTTCCTGAGAAGAAATAGATAGGATCAATGGAGAAAGCTCCTCCAGCCTGTCTTCACTAACAACCACTTCCTCCCATCAAGAAGGCAGTTTATTGCCATTTTTAAAAGACTACCAACCATAAAAATGCTTTGCACCCTAGGGGTTAATACCAACTCTCACTAACACTTCACATTTCAAATGCTCACGCTTTGCTGCACTTCCATAGAAGAGGATTTTTCAGTCATTCTGTTTCTGCGAGATTGAACATTCAAGAACATAGGGCTGGCAGAGAACATTAGCTGACAGTCTGGTCCCCAGCACCACAGTCCATCACACGCAGATGCTCACTGCAGAAGGGCCCACAGGTCTGCTCTGCCCCCTGTACCCCATAAACTAACATCACACTAACAACACCACTGAACACAGAACAGGCTCACTGCAGAAGGGCCCACAGGTCTGCTCTACCCCCAGAGATAAACTAACATCACACTAACAACACTACTGAACACAGAACAGAAGCCACCTCTGGAACACACAATGGGACACATACAGGATAGCTCAAGGCTACCACAGATGTTTTTTTGTCCCATTAGAAAACTGGACAATGGGACACATACAGGATAGCTCAAGGCCACCACGGATGTTTTTTGTCCCGTTAGAAATCTGAGCAATAACAAAGTTTAACTCCTGGATAACCTCAGGAAAGGTTACTTTCTATCCCCAGGAGCAGAGAGAACTCTTACCAGCCTCTGTTAGGAAATAGTCCAAGCCTGATGAACACTAAAACCAACTTTGTATGAAATAGGAAAAAAAAAACCAAATAAAACACCACCCTCTAAGTTGCTTTCATCATGGACTACCACTAGCAGCATCAGCACTTTCTGCATGTATTTCAGCTTTAGCTGTTGCCAGTCTCCAGAGTACCAGGAGAAGGCATACTAGGGAGGAAGAATCCTGAACACATCAGGTGGAAGTAGCAGCAGCGAATTAATCCGGGATAAATATAGTGCAAACAACAAACCAGTTTCTAAACCTCTTTGCATATACAATCATGTTTTACACTGAGGGCTTCAGCTTCTCTGGTTTTCAAAGTCATTTGTTCTCTCTTACCCAGGAGCAGAGAGAACTCTTACCAGCCTCTGTTAGGAAATAGTCCAAGCCTGATGAACACTAAAACCAACTTTGTATGAAATAGGAAAAAAAAAACCAAATAAAACACCACCCTCTAAGTTGCTTTCATCATGGACTACCACTAGCAGCATCAGCACTTTCTGCATGTATTTCAGCTTTAGCTGTTGCCAGTCTCCAGAGTACCAGGAGAAGGCATACTAGGGAGGAAGAATCCTGAACACATCAGGTGGAAGTAGCAGCAGCGAATTAATCCGGGATAAATATAGTGCAAACAACAAACCAGTTTCTAAACCTCTTTGCATATACAATCATGTTTTACACTGAGGGCTTCAGCTTCTCTGGTTTTCAAAGTCATTTATTCTCTCTTACAACTGTTTAAAGACTTCTCAAGCTCCACCCTAAACACAATGAAACATTTAAAATACACAGACTGCGTAACCTGGGATACTGCATCCGTGTGCATCATCTAGCCTAAAGGAAACAGAGCAGCCAGAAGTGACAGAAGAAGCACAGAAGCACAGCAAAACAGAAGCACACACTATTTTGTTAAAGCTGCTATCCCAGACAGCTGTATTTTACCAGACTTGGAAAGCAGCACAAGCTGTACATGTGCACACACACCGCTCCAGTTCTCATGTATCTACAATAGCGAGGAAATCTTCACCTGGGAAACAAAATGTGATACACAATGTTCCAGAGTGTCACTGCAAACACGCTGTTATTATAACGTTACCTCTACAGCAACAGAGCTGCTGACTTGAGAACTGCCACAGCAGATCCACCCGTGATCCATTTAGTTCTCTGTGCCGGCTTAAAGCAGAAGTTCCCAGCTCATACAACAACGCATTCTTAACATGTGGAGCGCTAAGAGTCCACACTGCCACCCTCCACTCAAAGGAAAACTGACCTGAAAATCCATCAGGAGAGATGCAGAGGCAGTGCAGTCCTACCTCCATGCATCACTCCAACTCTCACAGCACTGCAAGGACAGACAGACAGGGCCTATTCCACCTTGCAGGGTCTTTCTCTATCCTAGAGGTGATGGCAGGAGATGTTCAGTCAGGGTGTGTAGGGCAGCACAGCTGGAGAAGGTGATATGGATAGATGCTATCTTACAGAGGATATCCCGCACTCTTGGTGCCTACTGCTTTTCAACTTGCTTCTGACCTCACCACAGCAGACTGAAAATGGAGAAGATCCAAGAAAAACTGCAGCACTCTTCAGTGAAGAGCAGCAGAAGCCCCAAAAGAGCCGCACTCTTGGTGCCTACTGCTTTTCAACTTGCTTCTGACCTCACCACAGCAGACTGAAAATGGAGAAGATCCAAGAAAAACTGCAGCACTCTTCAGTGAAGAGCAGCAGAAGCCCCGAAAGAGCTAAATAAATGATGCACCCATGTTTTCCTGGACATTGTGAAACACTGGAGAGGCAGACAACTCTTTACATTCTGAAATGAAAGCCCTCCAACACAACAGTGTGGAGTTCCTGTTATTTCAGTATTTGGCGTGGTAAGCAAAGGAGTAAGTAATAGATGTGCTTTAAATGATCGATTGTGTTAGAAAGAGAAGAGTCAAAAAAAGCATTTTATTTACTTAATGTTTTCAGTTTTCTGCATGAAATCCTACTTCTCAGAATTTCATGTTCCACAGAACATCACATGTTTTAAAATGGTAGTTTAAAAACTCCAAAACAAACAAACAAGAAAAAACTGTCCTGTGTTTTGAATATAGTAGTAGAGAGAAAACACACTACTACCTGAAATATTTTTTATTTTTTAAATTCAGGTGCTCTAACACATAATGGTTTACAGGGAGTCTGTTCTCCTGTACTTTTGAAAAAAAAAAAAAAATCACATAATGCAATGTAGTTCAAAACATGAATTGCAGAGGAAAGCAATTTCACTTTTGGACACTCTGAATACACGGGGAGAGATCAGAACTTCATTTTCTTTTAAAGCAGAGACAGTTTAAATCAACTAAGTCAGAACAAACATAGGTGAGAAGGTAGCACCTACAAGCCTTGCCTTCAGCTAGGTGTACTGTGTTGTCTGCTTCCCAGAAGCCTAAAACACTTGCCTCAAAGCGCCAATGCTTCACCCCACAAGGAAGTCAAGTGAGTGCTGTTCTTCTTACATAACAGGCAATTTCAGTAATAAACTTCCCACTGACAGGGTGACAGCAGCAGTGAATCACCAGGACGTTTGCAAGAGGAAGAGGGATGGCTCCAGCCCAACATTAGACAGCTTAGTTGTCAAGACAGCGGAGATATCAGATACCTTTTCCCCCTCACACACTGGACTGTAGTTAAAGAGCAGTGCCCATTACATCTATAAAGCACCGCGCTCACCCTGAATTGCACCATCCAGCAGACTGTGCACTCAAAATAGTACACTCAGAGAACAAGATACAATTTGTATTGATTGTAGTGCTGCAGGGCCAAACCCTGCATCCTCCCTTGCACCCAGAAGGGGGGTACGAGACTAAGAGATGACCTAACTTTTTTCCACAACAGATGGCCAACCCTGACAGTTGCTGGCCAAATGCCAACCAGGTGCACAAATGCTCCACCAGTGCTTCAAGCATGATATAAATTGCTCACACGGCCAGGGCGCTTGGCAGCAAAAAACAAGCAACAGGCAGAGGGGGAGACATGAGCCTTGCAATGACAGACAACTTCGAAACACTTCAGTGCCCAATGCAGAAAAAAAAAAATACCTCAAGCCCTAAAAGTATCAGCTCTGTTTTCACTGAATTTCAGAGTTGGAAGGGACCATAGAGATCATCTAGTCCAACTCCCCTGCTGAAGCAGGATTGCCTAGAGCTTGTCAGAGCACGTTACTCAGGACTGCATCCAGGCGGGTCTTGAAAATCTCCAAAGAAGGGGACTCCACAACCTCCCTGGGCAGCCTGTCCCAGGGCTCTGTCACCCTCACTGTGTAGACTTTTTTTCTCATATTTGAGTGGAACCTCTTATGTTCCAATTTGTGCCTGTTGTCCCTTGTCCTCTCACTGGGAACCACTGCAACGAGTCTGGCTCCCTCCTCCTTCAACCCTCCCCCTTCAACCCTGTTCTTGGTCCAAAGAGTCAGATAAGAGCTAGAAAGAGAAGCTATGTAAATCTTGGATGTATTGAGGCCTTACTTTTGGGGGTTGTTTATTTGTTTAGGGTTATTTTTTCTTTCTTTGTTTTGAAAGTAAAATAACATTTTTAAGAAAAATAAATCACACACTATTTTACTTTAGATAGGTTTGCTCCAGTCAGCTGCTTTTCCACTTTCTGTACTTTTCAACCACAAGTAATTGCCAGAAAAGCAGTTCTTATAACACCAAGTTATTTATATACTCTGCTAATGACAATGTTCAGGAGCACTGAGCATTAATGTTTCACTAAGTGAACTGCACACTTCTAACAGGGTTTAAATGCACCTACGACAGAACAGCTCTAACAACGCACTTGGCCTCTTCTAGAGCCAAATTTGTCTAGATACAAAGAACTGAATGTACCCTGCTCAGGAACAAAATGTCTGACTGCACAATCCTGAAACAGTATTAACAGTTTCTTAAACTGCTGCTAGTCTAAACATTCCAGCACTTAGACTCCTTCAAATCTTCCCTATTTACTCTGATCTTGTTAGAAAGAAGCCATACAAGAAACGAACACCAGCAATCTGACCTGCACTGAACTATTTTGGCTGAACTATGAATGCGCACAACTTGATTATAAAACTGGGGTTGCTCCCAAACACTGTCTCTCCACTGTCAGCACACTGGGCAAGTTACTGAAATGCACTCACCAAATGGTAATTCAAATCTTGTGTCCAGCAAAATTTTATGAGGAGTTGGGTTTTTGGTTCCACAGATTTCATCATGTTTCATTACAACTTCTGCCTCCAGCGTAGACCACTCCCCAGGACCTTCCTGTGAATCACAAGCCACAAGTTTAAAGTCTGGCAGGTCCTCATGCAGTTGAGTCTCACACATTTGCAAAGAAAGACTCCAGGAAGAGCCTTACAGCATTTTCAAAGCCTGGTACCTGATTTTAACATCAAATTACATCCATTCAGCACATGCTGGCAGCTTTTCTTCCAAATCTCAAAGGTCTTTACCAAGACAAACAGAAAACAACCTCTTAGCAGAACTACTGCCTTCTCAGTGGAACTGCAAAGGCAAGTCCTCAAGGCAGGCACCGACAGCCAGAGGAGCTAGACCTTATGGCCACACTGCTAGGCATCCCTACTCTTTTGCTTTTATGGAAAATATAATCTCTCTCCCCCTGCTCGAATTCAATAATCTTTTAAATAAACGTCCTGAAATTTGACATAAAATAACAAACATGTCCTGCTTAGCTCCAAGAACCACCAAATTCAGTAGTTAGGGCAGTTACAGATATTGTCACGTCCCATTTCCCGTATTTTTCAACTCATATTAGCACCACTATACACCTGCTAACATGACAACCAGAAGCTTTAAGATGATGATGTAGACATGATCTGGGCCAACCTCAAAGGCCAGCTTGTCTATTATCAGGGCACCCTCCGACATTAGCAAGAACTCATCAAAATTTGAGCATCAGACTAAGCAGTCAGTCCTTAAGACTTCAGACACTTGTCAATTATATGTGTTCCTTAACAGGTTAAGCCTCGGTTTTTCAAGTCCCCATGAGTGAAATGAGACCAAAGACCGCTACTTAAGATGAGTTTTGGTCTCACTATTTGCAGCCTCCTTCAAAAACAAAACCAACAACATGATGCCAATAGCCTTCTCCTCTCATCCAGGCTTCCTGACTTTGCAAATGGAAGTTTTGCTGAGGAGCACAGTCCTGGGCTGCACCAGACAGATTTTGTTAACTACCAACATTGGTGCTGTCAAAATAAAGCTTCTGTGTCAGCTTAACCTCATCAGATTGGTGAATGGCCTTCAGAGCAATCCACACGGTTCCAACCAGGGTGTCCCAGATCAGTCCTTTGTTCCATACTTCAACAATTAGGCCCAGGTCCAGCCGACTGATCTCACTGCAAGAAAAGAAAAGGCAGCAGAGGTGAGAAAAAAAAAAAAAAACAGAATACATTCTAATTCTGCTTTAGGTTGTGCATTACCACCATGATTGTACCAGTGAACTCTTTCCACACAGCTGTGTCAAGCTACAGAGAGCTTCTGGAAGCACATGGTGAAGGAAGCTTATACTTGGAACACTAGTTTCTAATGACCAACTTCTTACAGTTTAGCACTAACTACAAAAAGATTGCAAACTAAACCCCTGAATTATTATCATGCATGGATTGCCAGTTGGGAACTTCTCTCTGCAGCTATGCCCACAGGAGGAGGAAGTATATCTGGGGCCAAAACCTAGAGGTGACCTGGTCTTTGTCATCAGGCACCTCGTTTCTAACAAACTGAGTGTCTCCCTTCCCTTGGCAGCCCAGCAGCACAAACGTACCCCTGGCAGGTCCAAACTTGCCAGAAGTTATCTGCAACTGGTGTAACAATCCCAAACCCAGCATACCTGCACCTATAACACAACCTGTTGCTCAGGGCTGCACTACACCACTCCTGCTCCAGCACAAGCTTCTTCCCCTGCATGACACTGTAGGGCCTTGAGCCGTGCAAATCTCTGGCAGCAAGCGGCAACAAAGCCACAGGTCCACTGAGTGCTAAGTTCTTAGAAAAATTTATCTGAAGGTTTTCATTAACATCTTCCCCCTCAGGCAGGAAAGAATGCATCTCAAATTCACTTCTTCCCAGTGCTTCACAGCGCTACACCTCTCTCTTCCATGCTGCTTTCTAACCTGCCTACTTAAGATGAACATAACACACACACAACCTGAATGCTGGTAAAAGCAAAGAAGGAGAGAACAATCCTGAGCTGTCTCATGCTTACCATGAAGAAGGCTATTGCTCCTACTTCTTTGAGATCGGGATTTTCCTTTAGTGCAACTGCTAATCCCCCAAAGTGGGTATCTTGGACACACAGTGTTGCTGCCTGCTATCCTTCTTTCCAAATGTATCCACATTAAGTTTATCAAGGGAATTCAAGAGCACTTTAGTCTCTAATTTCTCTAGACTGCCATCATGGCCAAAAAAAAAAAAAAAAAACTGCTGCAAATCCCAGCATTTATTTGAGCTTTGCCACATAGAGACATCCTACAACTTTAAAAGAGAATATTGTATCTACAAAGTTCAAGACAAACCCTATAGCTACAGCAAAGCATATTAATATCTATTTTAAGCCAAGTGCTCCTTTTCTCGTTTAAGACACAGGAATTAAAGTCGAGAGTGCCCAGTACTTGGGTGACTCAGTCCACATAGTTCAAAATCAAGCTATCACACAACTTTATTATGAGTTTATTGCTGGTATCTTGAAGTCAACTCTCCAACTCCTCCTGTTTGGATATGGCTACTCAATATGGACAAACTAACAACTAGCCACCTGCACTATCACTGCTCTGTCCTCCCACTGCTTGCGTCTTGGAAGATGATAATTATCTGATTGCACAAACTTGCAATAACAACAAAAATGATTGATTTTCTGCTGGCCGGCCCAGTCAGAGAACAGAAAGGGAAGGAAGAAACACTCTAATTCAAGCACACCATATTCTTTATTTCAACATATATTGACAGACCAAGACATTGCTCGTAAGACACCCAATGGACTCCTGCACAAAACTCCACAGGACAAATCACCAGATAAGAATAAAAAAAAAAAAAAAAAAGATTTTCAGTACAGTGGCTTTGATTGCCTTTGTGTCTCCCTTTCTCCACCTTCTGGTTAGATGAAGAATGGCTTCAAAGAACAAAAGAGCTGAGATTGGAATTTGTTGTCCCTCCCTTTCCACATGCACATAGAATTTAAATGAAAGACATTTCTAACAACATTTTTAACACTGATTTAATCCATCATGTTCTAAACATCAGTTTGCACTTTCACTCAAGGGGTGCTTGCTGCAAATGTGCACTTCTTTTAAAGCTGCTTCAAAATTAGATGATGGCCCCAAAGAATACATTAAAGTGCTTTACTGGTCTGGTAAATAAGCAAGTCTTAAACAATCCCAGAGCCCCAAATTTTGAAGTGTTATGTCTCACAAGGAGTTTGGAAGCAAAAACAACCAACAGACAGAAAGCATTTTCTTGATTGTAGTCTATTCTTCTACTATGCCTCCTGAAAAATGTAAACACAAACACAGACAGTAAAAGCATCCTTCCCTCAGGGAAAAACGACTCTGTTTAAAAGCCTTTTTCAACTCCAGAAAGACAAAGAGCAAACCAGTGAATAGTAGTATTGGAATATCAGTGTAATTTCTCCTGGGACAACTTAATGTACACAGGATCATGCAAAACACGTTCCCTGCCACGTGTAATAATTCTGTTATAAAGAGACATTAGAACAACTGTGCTGTTGCCTGGCTAAAGCAGAGATAATGGTGAGGTATTCAGCTAATATTCTGCTTTCATATCCCCTAGCAACTAATTATGGAGCAGCACAGTGACCTTACAGCATGCTAGCTAAGCTCCCAGCTGATAGCAGTGAGCAGTTCCAGGAGCTGTTTGAAGGGAAGGAGGAGCAACCGTGAGAGCTGACATCCAATACAAACAACTGCCATTCTAAAATCACTGGTGAGTAGCCTCCTCTGGAGCTGGCTGTGTTTAAAGCTAGTTCCTGTCCAGAGGACGAGCACAAATCACAGGAAGAATGAGTTAGTAGCTTGGGTATGGGCACGTGATTTGGCAGACAGGTACAATTCCCTGCCCCAGCCTTACCCCAGTCCTGCATGGTTTACGTCAGCGCCAGCCACAGTCACAGCCTGACCAGGAACTGCAGAAGATGGTGGTGTTCAGGGGCACACATTCCACCAAATGCAAAAAGAACAGGCTCTGGACTCTCAGTGCAGAAGCACACACCACATGTGGTCCTCCAAAAGCAGAGTGCCACCAAAGAAGGGAGACGAGAGCACAGCTGTATGACGGCAACCGTGTACCAACCCAGGTACCCTCCAACCAGAGGCAAAAGCTTCCCACTTTCAGTAGAGGAGAACCAACTGCTGCTGGATTGGGAAACGTACTCATAAAATCCCTGGTGGGTCTCTTGCTACAGATACTATGTAAACACCTCAGACTCATTCAAAACCGACAACGCTAACTTTGACTTCCCATGCAACATCGATATGCATGCCAGGTTCAGAGAAAAGATCTTAAGAGTTCAGGGTTTAGTAAATTTAGTTCCCTTTGTCTTACAAAGCTATTAGAAGCAGAAGCAGATGCAATATATCCATGAGTCATTCGTTCACCAGCAAAAACCCTGACTATTCTAAAAGATACTGGGAAATCCCTGGCTGCATGTCAGGACTACTGGGGACCAGAGCAAATCAAAAGTGCCAACTGCACCAGAAACCCTGAGAGAGCTGGAACTGGTTCTGCTGCTCATGGCAGGGACTGGCAGACCCTCAAGCTGCAGCAGGGGAGCTGGAAAACACATTCAAAGGCACCAGGCCAATGGCAGCAAACATCAACACACAATATGAGCTCCCACACTGAGGTAATCAGGATCACCCTGTTGAGGCCCTGAGTGCACTAATAGCAACCCTTAATTGCCTTGACCAGACCCTCCAGTGGTCTCCACCCACACCCTCCTCCTAAAGACCAGAAGCTCCACTTAAGCTCAGATATGGGTCTTCAGTCCGTGACTTAGCTAGGCTGTAGGTGTGCTTGTCTGCAGCTTAGCCACAGCTATGCCTGCCCATGGACCCTGTCAATCCAGACCCAACGCAGAGTCTGGCTCCTCAGCTCAGTCCTAGACTTGCCTCGTCACTACAGACCTGACCCTGGCAGAGACGATCTTGCAACACGCATCTCGTTCAGCACAGGTCCATGTGTACAACAGAAAAGCAAATGATTTAGGTTGTCACCAGGCTTGTGCATTTTAACCTTCTGAAGTACTCCAATTTATACGACACAAGAGCGGCTCCATGCAAACATCAGTGCTGTGGAAGGACTCAACCACAAGCACCTCACCAATGCACAACACTGTACTTACAACATAAAATCCTGTTCCCAGCAAGGTTGGTCACCACGCACAGCTACCGTCGTGCTCTTCACATTTTGCACTTTCAAGGTCACATATGTATTGAATTTATCTGGGGAATGAAAGGCAAAAAGTTACCTCCTTCAGTATAACCTTTCATCACATAAACGCAAGATTTCAAGGCTTTCGGTCCATATGTTGGATCCCAGTGGGACCCAAATTGAGAAGTCCATATTGGAAGACATCAGGGCATTAAGCAGCCAAACATTCAAGATATTTTTCACCCGCCAAATTTTCAGTCACAGTTTTTTAGAAATTCATGCACAAACAAAAACACCAGGCAACTAACCACTTGCAGTAAGTCAGGGACAAAGAGTATAAAATCCTAAATAACACAAACACTTTGTGTGTAAGACACTGTTACTGAAATGCAGACAAGAGGAATAAAAGACAATCTGAAGGGCCTACCACCCAGAACAAAAAACAAACTTGCAAAACGTACAAGCAAGCAGCAGTTAGGCAGATCGTATCACCTCCTTCCTTCTCACCCAACTGCTCTCCTAGTTCCAACCTGATTTTCCACCCATGAATCCACAAAGAACTTTACAGATCCATCAAGGGCAGAAGAAAAATACAGTGAACTCACTCACATGCTAAATGTGCTAAAACTGATCTGTATTGCTTAAATCAGCTGACCTACAAGAACCGCAATACACTCACATTTTGACAAGACAGGCTTTGTTAGATGTTTTGCTCTTTATTTTAAATCTGAAGAAAAGGCCTGGAACAAACTTTTTCGTAGCTGCTGCTATCTCTTTGCTAATAAAATCAAAAGCAGCCAAGCACAGACACATACAAAGTTTGAATATCAGTGTCTGAAAATGAACAAATTCCCTTTCAAGGAGAGTTACCACCTCAGGCTTCTCTATCAGTTTCATCAATCCTGGAACAAGACATATGCTAAGTAGCTAGAAAGCAGTGTACATATTTTAATACTTCAATGTTCCGCTGCATCTATTCCCAGAGTAAGTTAGATCACAGTTGGTTTCAATACTGCCAAAAATTTGTATGCATGATTGCTGTGGGCTACTATAGCTTTTCCCAGCATCTAGCTTCAAATACCCTAACAGAGAGAGAGGAAAGGGAAACTATGTGATCCAGAAATTGAGGAAGAAATGGGAGTCACTGAAAGTCAGAATCCTTCATATCTTGCTACATCACTCACATCCTCCTGGGACACTGGGCTTATCAGTGAAACCAGACGCTTCAGTTAAGTTAAACCAAGACTACAGCACAAATATATTGCAGCCATGAGCAGGCTTCTTGATTAGAGAAAGGATAAAGCACACACCCTCTCCCTTGCAGTCTGGGCATTCAGCTTTTCTTCCCTGGAAATTCCAGGGTGGTACACACCCAGATCTTGACCTGCCACAGAGTATGGACAAGGAGACCTGGGAAGCTTTCTACTATAACTTGAGGATGGCTATATCACGAGAATAAAGCTGAAAAAATAAGTCATGGAAGCAGCTGTGCTACTGCTTCAGATCTAAATAGCTGAATAAGTATTATTCCAGAAGCAAACTGCGTATTCTTTTGTAAAGCGTGTATCACATTTTATTCAATAAATGTATTTGACTGTTAAGGGATTCCCTCCTAGTTACTGAACCACAGTGAAATAGTTGCCTTGACTGTAAATTCTGGGAGTTACCAGCTGTTTGTTTTTATTTTATTATGCAGACACAAAACCTGGTGGATGAGATTGCAATCTCAAGCACAGCCGTTATCGACTGCCACATAAGAGAATGAATCAATTCCGTGACATCCAGCAACCCCAATCAGGATCAAGGAGGCACTGAATCCAGACAGGCACACACCAGTTCTGCTCGTGGACATTTACAGATCTTGCTTTTAACAGGGACAGAAGAAGGACGAGAGGAAAGGGCAGGGTGAAGTGGGAACTGGTGACAGTAAAGGAACATCTCTCCTCATCCATCGCCTGTTCAGGTCAGGTCAGCAGGAAGAGGTCTCTTAGCACTGTGACACTAAGCCAGAGTCTCGAGCTTTCTATTAACTTAGGGTGCCTGGATTCTCAGGGTAGCTTTTGTCACTCCTTTGTCACTAAGGAGAAGATGGAGGAGCAGACAGGAGGTAGGTGAAAACTGGAGGGTGCAGCATGAGCAAGAGTGGGAGAGCAGGTGTCACCGTTGCTGCAAACAAGCAGTGGAGTATGGCTTACCTGGTGGTCCTTGGAGTTTAGCTTTTTTTACTGTAAAGAGAAAAAAGAAAAAAAAAAGCTGTTAGTGATTTTGTGCTACTACAGTTTCATTTGACTCAGAGTGTCGCAGGGCATCACAGTAACTGCCCAATATCCCCAGTTGAGAACTGGTAGATGGAAAACCTGCACTTACTTCAATAGTTCAACAGATCTGGAGACAAAACCTCTTCTGTATCCCATCTCAACTCTCTAAATCAGTGCATTTAAAAATAATCATAGGATTAATGTTTGGAAAGTGATGTGATATGGCTAATCTAAAGCCATTTCAAAATCAGTCCTTTGCAACTAGACGTTACTGCTGCTTAGCAGGACGTCATTTCATACCACCTCGCTTGTAAAGTTACAGACACTAAACATTTCTTTAAAAACAAAGAATCTCTCCTCAACAGCGCAGACTTTCAACCACAGCTTGAAAATAATCAAGCCTGAATAACAGCTCTACAGTATGATATCTGAAAATCAAATTAACTCACTATGCCAAACAAGCACCAGTCTAAACACAGATGTCACTTTTCTGAGGTCTCCTATGTTAATTTAGTTCCAAGACAGTATTTATCAAGAACCATGGTTAGAATACAAAACAGCACTGGCTCTTATCTCACCAGATGGAGAAGGTCCATGTCTACCTAGGGGAGATTTTGTTTACATTTCTCTTTTGCGAGCTCATATCCTCACTGGTATTGCTAAGTGTAAGCCCTAAGAAAAGACAAATATAGGCTCCAGCTACTTTTCCCAGTGGAAAACGAACACTAAGACAAAAACATATTTAACAAGCGAAGAAGCAATATACACCAGAGGGCAAAAAGATATAAAAACTGGTGTGGTGAAGTTTCCCCCAGAAAGCAGAGCACCCAACACTTACTAAAGGCTCACAGAGTTCAACTTCCAATATAAATATTCTAGAAAGGAACGTTAACGGCTTTAAGCTGGAGGGGAGCAGATTTAGATTGGAGATTAGGAGGAAGTTCTTTACTGTGAGGGTGGTGGAGCACTGGAACAGGTTGCCCAGGGAGGTGGTTGAGGCCCCATCCCTGGAGATATTCAAGGAGAGGCTCGATGAGGCCCTGGGCAACCTGGTCTAGTTGGGGGTGTCCCTGCTGACTGTGGGGAGGTCGGACTAGATGATCTTTGGAGGTCCCTTCTGGCCTGGACAATTCTATGATTAGAAAATTAAAATAAAATAATGGCCCGTACACAGTTACATGGAGACAGCACCAATGGAGTGTGATGATGGAGAATACCCTTGCTATTTGAGAAATTCTCCTTTGCCAGCATTTACAGTCCCAGTAGGTGTTTGCATGACCTGTACCAGGTATGGTATGAGCCAGGGTCATCTCAAACAGAAGTGAGAAGAGTTGTAGCTTTCGCTTAGACTGCCAAGGCCCAGGAGCCTTTAGGTCCAAAATAAACAGATTTGTTTTCTTCCAGGCTCAGGGCCTGAAGCATTCCTGATGATAAACCTAATGGTGCAAGCAAAACATACAATGGTGGGAGCCAGCGTTCCTGCTGACTGAAGATGCAGATTCCTTTTTAATCTCCAAATCAATCGGTCTGCTAAACCACTGAGAAACAGTCAGGCTAATCTACCCATTTTCTAGGTGCCTTTGATATCACACAAAAGCAGGCATTTTATGAAGTCCTGCCCTGGAGTGGGCAGACACCAGCTTGTCTCTGATCCTCCCCTCTCCCCTCCCTTGCAAGAAGCAGGAGACAAAGGAACAAGTGCACGTGCTTGAGGGAAGGAAAAAAGGAGAAAGAGGGCAGGGGATGCACACAGTAAGCTTCAGCTGGTCTCTCTCCCTGTTCGTAACAAGATCCACTGCTGTTAGCAGGGAAGCAAAGACAAATAATACCAAATTTCCCAGTGTGGAAATTAGGTGTTATTTGTCAAAAAGCAGCCAGAGTGGGCTCCTAGACAGACAGAGACAAGACACTGTCTCTGCAGCAAGCGATATGCAAACCATGAGACAGATGCTGTCTGCACATTGTGGCTTCAGCCTCTAAATATTAAAAGGTTCATTTGATGAAAGGCAGCAAACCCTGCACTGCCTCAGCATGCTGAAAAGAGCGTCCGTGTGGGGCTTCATCAAGAGCTGTCCCACAGCTCGCAGCAACAGGGATATTTTGGGGCAGCAACGAAACTGAACAAAGATCACAAGCCTGCTATGGACCCACATAACCAAAATGGAGTCTAGTCTCTTTAGTATCTACCAGAAATTAACACCATGCCCCAGAAAACCATGTGTAATAAATTACACCTTTAGCTGCAGAAGCAGGGCTTATTTATAAAAGCTGGATCACCAACCTGCGAGTCTCATCTCAGCAGTAACTCTTGTGCTCTAGCTGCAAGTTTACCCAGCATGTCCAAAAAGTTCCCACGAGAAGTGACTTGGGGCATGGTTTCATTTTGTTAGCCCCCTGGAAAGCACTTCCTAGGGTTGTGTAAAAATCCTTGCAAAGGTGCAGCTGCCACAGCATCTCAGGATTGGGGCTGGCTGTGAGACCGCAGGGGTCCCCATACAACAGGGTGAGCATCAGGGAGTTCAGAGCTGGAAAGAGCCACTAGACACTGCCAAGACCCAGCCTGTTCATCAGCCCAAGGAATTCACAGGTGAAAGGCACAGAATTGCACGCACCATGTCACTGCCAAAGGGCCACAGCTTTGGAAAGGCACAATGAGGATCGCTTCCCTGGGGAAACCTTTGTACCCACACCTGCTCATATAGGTTAGAGCTCCTATATGCCAAGCGCTCAAGAAAGAGCACAAAGCAGAACTCAAGTCGAGAAGAAGCCTGATGCATTAACAGTTAATTACAGCGTTGCAATAAAGGCTGAAAACTCATTGCTACTCCAGGGGCAGGCAGACAGCAAGCCAAAATCAATCCAGGAGGATTTATGAAATAAATTTATAAATACATGAAACAAAGGGAAGTCATTCTACAGAGCGCTCAGCAATACCAAGTTTTGCAGATACAGTTGCTTCTGCATTGCTACAAGGTAAAAACCTGAAGACAAAGTAAGTCAAAGGTCCAGATCAGAGATTTCCTGTCTCACTTCTGTTTATCCCACAGGCATTTCTGGGCTCTGGGAAAGCCGCATTTTTAAACTATCTGGAAATGTTAAATTCCATTCAGCCTTCTCTCAGCAAAGTGGGCAGCACAGAAAGTCCAGCCACTCAGAAGCAAACACGGGAGTATGCTGAAGTGTAATCCTCCTGCAACACTGTATGGGAAAGACAGCAGGGAGGAAATGAAAACCATAGAAAATTAGAGAGGTAAGACAGACCTAGAGCTTTGCACGGCCGCATGCGAGCACTGCACGATACAGACGCAGGGAGATGCACCTGCTCTCAGCGTGCACACAAAGACTCATTTAATCCCCAGAAGAGACTTGGGCTCCTCCTTCTTATGAGGAGAGGCTGAGGGAGCTGGGGTTATTCAGCCTAGAGAAAAGGAAGCTAAGGGGAGACCTTATTGCTCTCTACAGTTACCTGAAAGAAGGATGTAGAGAGGTGGGGGTCGGTCTCTTCTCCCAAGTCACAGGTGATAGGACAAGAGGAAATGGCCTCAAATTGTGCCAGGGGTGGTTCAGATTGGATATTAGGAAAATTTTTTACACTGAAAGGGTTATTAAGCATTGGAATGGGCTGCCCAGGGAAGTGGTTGAGGCACCATCCCTGGAGGTGTTCAACAGACGGGTTGACATGGTGCTCAGTGACACAGTTTAGTGATGGTTTTTTTATCAGTTAGGTCAATGATTGGACTAGATGACCTTAAAGGTCCCTTCTAACCTAGACAATTTTATGATTCTGTGATATGAGAGACCCAGTTATTTCACCTCAGTTCAAGGAGCTACTAGGAAAAAAACAGGCTGCATTGAAATAACTGAACACAAATTGGACAGACAGATACAAAAGCAGTGAAAATTGATGTAAACATTCAATACATCCAGAGATCTTTCTCTGGGAATTTCTCGCCATTTTGGTGTCACTCTAAATAAAAAGACAAGAAAAAAAAATTAGGTTGATGTCTTGCCTGCAACTTTAAAAAAAAAAAAAAAAAAAAAAAAAGAAGCCACAGCAGGATTCCAGGTGCTGTACAGTTGTCAATTACCAAAGGCTGGAGAGTCATGCAGACTCCTAAAGACTAGGAAAGGAAAATACAAGCCAGAGATTCCAGAAAAGGTCCAGAAACATTGTGGGAAGGTGGAAAAACAGAGTTCTTAAACTCAGCTCTACAGAGAAATTCTTGCTATCCATGTATGTTTCAGTCTGAAAGACAGTATCTTTTTTCCTGTCTAGGTGCCCCATACACCAGCCAGAGAGTTAAAATCAAGCATGCCTAATTACTACCAGGTTCAGACAATACATTGCTCAAATCTAAATTGGAAGATGCTCGCACTCAGTTAAAGAGACCTGGTTGTTCTCAACATCTGCAGATTCAAGCTCACCTTCAATATTTGCTTGCAAATCAGAGGGATGCAGACACAGGGAGTGCCTGAGCAGATGGCCAAAAGATTACATCCTAACTAAATCCAGCACATGACTTACGAGCTGGTCACTCACCACACTACAACAAAATCTACATCCTTACACAAAGGCCAATAAAGCACCACGGAGGGGCTGTGGGAGAAATCAGAAGAAGAAAAGGATGCAGTTTAATTAGTGCTTTTAAAAAGAAATGCAGTGCTGAAAGCAGAACATTCAAAATGCATTTTCATGATCAGCAATTTGACAAATAGCTTCCTCTTCCCTGTGAAACTTGAACGTCATGTTAATGTGTTTTCAAGAGCACTCTAACTTCTACAGTAACTATCCCCAGCTGAACAGCAGAATCAATACATATTTCCATTTCGTTCTGTGCTTTTCTCACCTCTTCCAGGTGCTCAGACTTCATTGCACAGTGATAGGCAGCACTAGGTGCAAAGGTTGCTTATGCAACAGAAATAAGAGACCACAGAAAAATGCTCATACTACCCAAGACTAAGTCAAC